GCCTCTGATATTGTGATATTTTACTGAGAAAAAAGAAAACTGTCAAAGAGAGGAGATTACATCTGTCTGTCCTATCAGCTTTCTTATCTCTGGTCTCTTTCCCCCAGGAGTGTCAGTGTCAGTCAGGCGGCTGGAGGTCTCAACAGCAGACGGTGCCACAGAACACATACTATAAATAACTGCATTTACGTAGAAAAACGCTGCAGTGCTTCAGGGCAATTTGCCACGAGGTCGCACTTTTCATTTATAACATTAAAGCGTGTCAGAATACTCTTTTACATCAGCTGCCATTATGTTTGTTTCATATCAGATGGATCCGATTGAAAGTGTTTTTTTGACCTCAAAATCATTGTGATGGCACACAAACTTAGAATAAGGAGGATGGCATGTCTGCCATTGCCACAGCGCCCCCTGGACCCCTGGAACTGCACCTGCTTTCAGACATGCACTGAACTCCAGACATTCTCCGCACTTTCTCCGGGGGGAAGTGCATGTGTGAATGCAAATGTCCGAGTGAGAGCCTTCGGATTATCTGTGAAATTTCGACACGTCTGTGCAGAAAATGGTTTAAGTAACTCTGGCGTACTGTGCTGGAACATTGTGACCTGCTTTACCGAGTAAGTCACACAGCAACAACCGGAGCTAACAGCTAGCTACAAGAGACAACTATTTCAACATTTAAATTGTTGACATCATGGCCGAACCACAGAAGAAACCAAAGAGGACATTGGGAAATGAGAAAGTGACTGAGAAAGTGACCAACTGAGATTTGACTTGATTTGATTCATGCTTGGAGATACTTTTAACTGAGAACAGGATTTATTCAATTTTACGTTCAGATTTTATAATGCTCTAACTCAAAGCCCTGAGCTTGCACTCAAATATACCATGCTTATAATGCTGACATTTCCTGTGCTCCTGCATAAGCTCTTCTCGCTGCTTCTGTGCACACGAGAAGTGTCTGTTTTTGTATTCTTTCCTCTGCTCTTGATTTTACATCCAGATTTGTTATGCTCTCACTAAAAACTCTGCACTCATGGAGCAGGAGTCCAGCAGATAGATCACTGGTCAAAATGGATGTGGCAAAATCAAGGATTTTTAGCGAATATAAAAACTTCTCTGGTTCTTTAACAAGAACAAATACCAACAGCAGCAACGTACCAAAGGAGAGCAGAACTATTTCATTTGTCATTACTACAACATGGGGTTCTGTTGGTTGGGGAATTTTGACCAAACTGTTATTCAAAGAAATTAAGCAGGGGAAAAAAAATCAGAGAACAGATTTCACGTTCGCACAGAAGCAGCGTGAGCAGGAGGAGAGGAGCTCAAGCTAGACTGCAGGAAATATAAGCACAACTTCGGTGTATTTCAGTGCAAACGCAGGGTTTTGATTGAGAGCATTAAAAAATCTGAACTTAAAAAACCACAAGTCCTGTTTTCAAACTTACAGAGTGCTTAGGCTCAGAACACAACTCGTAATTACGACAGTGAATTATGCATCCCACCTGTAGGGGGAGCCTGAGCACAGCTGAATCTTGCGTTGTGTCGCTCTACAGCAGAGCGTCTCTCTCAGCTCGGTTTTGCAGCATCAAATCATCTTTGCGCTAAAGGAAACAGTTGCAACATGCGAATGTCGACTGAAATCTGATCCATGTGCGTGAACAGTGTGAGCCGCCCCATGTTTCAGACTGATCAGTTTGGCTCAGCAGTATCAACACTGTGTTGTAGCACATGGTCTGATCCCAGGACAAGAGATGAAACCCTGGTTTCCATGAACAGAGTGACCTCCCCCTCGTTCTCACCTAGTTCTGGTGGTGTGTTAGCGGGATTAGCTGTTCTCTGTTTGAATGGGCTGATTGGATTGACGTGTTCTCTCTACATGATTATTTCCACACAATAGTGTCAGACACAACGTTTTCAAGCCCTTTTCATCATAAACCGGCACATTTTGTTCTGAATGTATTTACAGACGATGCAACGTCTTCACATGAGCTGTTTGAAAGCCGTGTCCGAGCAGAGCAGGGCCTGGGACAGGCGCCTGTCCTTCACCACAGCTGCACTTTGTTATCAGGAAAAAGGTGTTTGAGTTTCATGTAGTTTGATAAATATTGACAGGTGGTTGCCATGGAGACCAGCTAAATGTGATTTCAGATCACTGCCTTTACTCCAAAACAATGGAGATGAAGAGAGTTATATATGACGTGTTCAATGCAGTAGAAACTTTTAATTGAAATAATTATCCCCGAAAAACTAAAAAAGTATTACTGTGACACCTAACCTGTAACCTATAGTCACCCAGAAGCAGATATAATATTAGAATGTGATGGACAATACCATTTCATATTACGGCTCCAGTAAATCTAAATTAGGAATCTGACTTGACTCCTTTCTTCCGTTAGCAGGATTATGCAAACAGTCCTGGATGGATTACCATGAAACTTGGTGAAAGGATGAGTCAGGGCAGAATCACCAGTGTTTTGTGGGGATCCATCGTACTGGGCTGATCCAGAAATTTCTTTTGACTTTCTTTAACATTGTGAGATTGAGAGAACATTTTCCTTGATTTCTCACAAAATCATTCATGGATCTCCATGAAAAAAAATCAGAAAGGTTTACGGGGCTGATATTTATGAGTGTGTGCGGACATACACTCTACTGAATGCCATTCTACTTGTGAAAACTATTTAGCCAACTTGCTTTGTACAAACAAATTATGTTTTGTTCATATATATTATACCTCTCTGCTTCTTAAGATTTTGGCAGATGGATCTCAGATGCTCATCTCAAATCATGACCATTAAAACAATCTATGTGGTTAGATACCTCTTATAAAACACATTTTCCTTGGATTTGAACCAAACCTTTAATGTCTTATGAACATTTGTTAGTTTCCTGGTCTAGTAAGTTAAAACTTTACAGGTGGGAGTGGTTTGAATTTGGTGAGAACTCTCCTGTGGTATCTGGGTTGGACGTGTCTGCGTCATCTTTTTGTCTGATTTTATTTAAATAACTCAGCCGCTAACGAACAGGCGCTTGAAAACAATTCAGCACATTTCCCTTTGTGTCCTCTCACTTGTTAGTCAGAGCAGATGGGAAGAGTTCACGGCCTCAGGTAATTCACACACCACCTTCCCTTTGTGTCCTCTGACATCTCCAATCACAACTGTCACCTGAGTGTTTTCACTATGACGTCATTTAACCCTGTTAGCAGAAGATGTAGTTCGGAGTTTGGCATTAAAAAATCTAGACATTCAAACAATGCAAGAAAACCAGTTCTGTAGCTTCTGCAGCCCTGACCGCCTCAGGTGCTTCATCTCCGGCTGAAATGCTTTCAGGTTCAGCTATGACTCAACAGTTTATATGAAGCTCTCGGTGTGATTCATTTTTCCAGGTATTTAACTCACGCCTACGCCGTGCAGCCCTGGGGCGCTATCAGACGGCTGCAGTTTGTCGTTACAGGACAAGTGGATCACGCAGAGACGATGGCAGAGTGTGTTGTAAAAAAAATACTTAGTGTCAGCTTTATAACCATGTTTGAATAACCAGTCATTTTCAAATCATTGTCAAAACACACAGATTTTATGACTCAACAGCCCCCGAAATAAAACACCCACAATGCCGTTCTGTTCAATAAACCTTTTTTTAATCTCAACAGCAAGTTAGCTTATGTGTGGTCAACATCAATGAAGGTAAATATAAAACTGTATTTCTATTGATAGATTGATGTTTGTGTTTTATCAGCAGGAGGTGAAATTATGATACTCTGAGACACGTCCACTAGAATCTTCATGACTTGAGTCTTCAACTAGAGAAATATTGCTATAATACTTTTAAATGGCATACACTGATTGACCAACAAGAAAAAAGCACAGTAGAGATGCTGACAGAGAAGCTCCAGAACTCCACACGGTGGGTTGTACAGGGAAACTTCTGAGGGACTTTGGTTTTGTACCTTTGTAAAACCTGGCTCTACTTAACTTTCAGAAACAAAACAAAAAAGTACAGAAAAGAAAGACGTGATCATAATAAAATAAACAATAAAAGGGTCCGAGCAGAAATAATGGTTGTATTTAAAATCTTAAATTTAGATTGAAAATACCAAAAAGTAAAAGGCACACTGAACACTTCACGTTCAACACAAAATTAACCTCGGTGCAACTTGTACTGAAGATTCACTACATCCCTAAAATTGGTACAAAGAACACTCATCGACGGAGAAGTGTTTCTCTCTCTTGGATAAAAATCAACAATCAGATAAAGTGTTTCTATGTCTGGTCTTTCTTTGAAAGAAATCTGTTTTGTGTCCATTATTGGTGGGGAAGAGAGAGGGGAAAAGGTGTTTCCTACAGATTGTGGTTTGTTTCATCTGCCAGGAAACGGCAGAGCAACACAAACCTTTTCCATCTCCAACGCCGTCACCTCCTCTCTCCCCGCTATATCTCTCCTCCCCCCTCGTTGTCAAAGTGCTCCAGTATTCAACTTCCACAGATCATCCTGTAGCTGTTCTAGCCCGACCATTGACAAATAAAATGAAAAGAAAACAATCATCAAAAAATATTCATGTTAAGGCGAAATCCACCCTTTAATTCTCTGACACTGTCACGTATTTACAATGATTCTATGTTGGACCTGCCTAACACGGTTCTTTACTTCTGTCCGACCCACAGACTGGGTTTGAGCTTCTTGTCACATATGATCATATAAAAACATACATCTAGCCGGCTGGTTAGTACATTTCAGAGGTGGAATATCATGAGACCTGTTGTGTAACATGTCTTGTGGCTACAGTCTGGTACATGTAGGCCATTGTTCCAGGAGTTATTAGCATCTGTGACAGATAAACATCAGAGCTGCATGGTGACTTACAAAGTCATCTGTTCTTACATCCACAGGGCATTACAAGAAAATTCCAGAAATACCTCAACGTGATACTGTATGATCTAATAGATCAGTTGTCCTCAGGAGTGAATACACAGTTCTGATAATCAATGCATTGGTTATCATCTTTTATGCGTTAGTACCAAAACTTGACAGAATTGTGTTTTTCTTTGTCTTAAACTAAATATGTTCTGAGACTGTTGCTCAAAGCCACCAGTCTAAATTAGTTGTATTGCCGCCACACAAATTTTGATTAATTACCTCTAATAAGTAATAAGTTTTAAGTTTTCACCCTTTTCTGTTGTTTTTTTTATGTGGGTTTTATTGTGAACAGAATTACACAAAAACTACAGCACAGATTTCCATGAAACATGGAGGAAGGATATAGTATGGGTCAGGGGAAAAACCTATTTAAATTTGATGCTAATCCAATTTTTTATCTCTGGCATCGAGAAATGGCGTGTCTCTTAAACTATTTAACCTGTTTGGTTTTTGGGCCTTGGGATTTTCTCCACTGATTCCACTTCTGGTTTGGCACATCTACGAATAAAGAGGCAGATCCAGATTTTTTTTTTTTAAACTTTCATTAACATTGCGAGATTTCAACATTTTCACTGATCTCCCAGGGATTCATGGATCTTGATGAAAAAAAATCTGACATATTCCGGGTACTTATATCAATCAGTGTTTGTAATTTGGTGCAACCTGACAAAATATAAAGGATCTGTCGGGCCTAGGTGGTAGTATGAGCTCTACTGAGTTTTCTGACATCTTATTTTTGATCAAGACAAAAACATTCCTGATCGGTTGTGAAACAGTGTTGAAAGCATTTTAGGGTGGATTTTTCCTTATATTCTTGCACAGGACTGCAACCACAGTTGGTCCATTTTTTCTAACCATCATTAAAAACTAATAAGAACCACATCTGTACTTTAAAGAGTCTGATGTGAGCTGTAAGAGAGATGTGAGCTGTGGGAGCTATGTAGACAAACTCTTTCACGCTTTAACCCATGACCACTAAAGGTCACGCACTCTGATGGCAGATGGTCACAGTCAAACAATATCATCTCCACTCTCTGACGTTCACTGTCCCGTTATACCAATGACATTTTTTTTTTTTTTTTAAATCGACATTTGTCAGAGAAAATACATCTGTGCACTTCAAGTAGATTGAACACTACGTAAAAAAACAAAAAACAATCTCTCGTCTTGCTGCTGGCGTGCTGTCAGCCAAAGAGCGGCGGTGGTGAGACAATCGTCAAAATCCAGTGTCAGGCAACCGATGATGTTCTCTTTGTCTCACAGCGGCCACAACATCAGAGAGGAGACATTCTTTTATTAAATCTAATGCAGGGAATCTTTACGGGGTCATTCCATAATTACAAACACGTTTCATCATTAAAACAACACAGAGGCATGACCGGAGCACTGACGATGTAAACCAGAATTCATCATAAGCTACAACTGTGTGCTGAGGGAAAACACAGTCTGTGCTATTTTGAATGGAGGAGTCGGTACAGTGTTCGTCTTCTTCAGTAATGACTACAAATGATGTGATGGATGCAGAAAGATTTGAAGTCTGAATTGTGCAAACAAACAATAGTCTCACACGCACTCACATTACACACACACATTCATACAACTGTCTCCAGGCTCGTCCCTCCAGGCCGAGCGAGCGACAGATTATCTCCTGGTTACATCATCAGCTCAAGTGATGTCACTGCTGACGACTCAGAGGTCCCGGGAACCAATCAGAGCTGGCTGTACAGGTGAGGCTTCCATTCATAATCCCTTGACATTAAGGATTAATATTGCTTCAGTATTGCCACAAAATAGAATAATATCAACTGTCTAACACCGCAACTTCTCAACCAAACACGTGTGATTACGTCAGCCCTCATTTATCAGGCGTGCGCATGACCCACAATTCAACTGTTAAAACAGACAGACACGCGTCCACTGCTAAAAACTGGTAAAATGATCCTCTTGCATTTTGTGTCATGAAACCTGGCATCGTGTGTGTGCAGTCGGATGGAAAGGAGGAGACTCAGATCAGTAGTGTAAGAAATAAATCAGGATCAGTAGTTACAAGTTACAAAAACCACGAAGAAAACAAACAAAACAACTGTATTATTTATGTCACATAGCTGACAAACGACTGCTGCTGTATCTATTATTTTTCATAAGTTTAGTTTAACTGTAAATATAGCTTGGAAAGAGTTTATCACTGTTAAAAGCACAAATGTAGCTAAAGCTCAACAAATGGTGCATCACTCACCAGCGCCCAGCATGTTTATTAGTTCTGTAAGTGAATGACAAACTTAGATACCAGTGGATTTCTGCAGGAACACTCTAAATGTTAGTGTTGAAACTTATGCATGATTGCTATGTGAGCCGGTGCACTCACATTAGTGTAAAGTTATTTTCAAAAGTGAGACTTTTAACACTTGAATTTGTGGTGATATCCATGGTACCATGATAAATGAGGGCGATTTTCTCTACATCACTTTTTTAATCTACTGTAATAATAAAAAATGCACAAAAGTGTTTTGAGATGTGTGTAGATGTGGTGTCCTATTTTAAATACAAACAGCACTGCCAGCCATTGTGCTTTTGGTTGCCAGTCGGTCTGAAATAAGTTCACTTTCAAACCATTAGTAGGTGAAATGCTGTACTCAAGGATGTGCAGCATTCCGCCCCCCCCCTCCCCTCGTCGGGCTGCATGGCGCAGTCCTCACAGGTGGCACAATGTCCTTGGCAACAGAGTCAGCTTGGCGAAGCTCACGCTGCGCCACGTATCGGACCCGTTCCTGCCTCACAGGGCTGATGAGAACAAGAACAGAGGAGCAGAAGGAGAAAGGGAGGTAGGCTAAGGAAGGATTTTGGTAGAAATGTTGTCTGAGGTTCATCACAACTAAGAAATTAAGTTTGTATTAGTCATACAAAAATTAACACCTTTCCTTCCCTGTTGCTACTCTTATGGCCTCCACTTACATCTCCATTCTGTCTGGTTCAATGCTAGGTAGGTTCTCATTGCTTAATACCGCTTTGTATTAACCCCCTCAGCTGGCATTAGTTAACCAGTACGAAGCCATGCTGGGAGTCCACAGTCTCCATCATCTCACTGTCCAGGAGAGAGCTCTGCAGCTCGGGCAAGTTCAGGCAGTCTGACTGCCCCGGACCAGCAAAACCCCCACCAGCAGCTCCGGCCTCAGCCTCTCCTGGAGCAAGGACCAGCGTGGAGGGGTCCAGCGGGAACTCATACTGCTCCGGGTGAAGAGCCTCAGTGGAAGGGCCAATGGCCTGCTGCTCACAGCATGTGGCGTAGCTGAAGCCCAGGCCACTGGCAGAGGCTTCATGAGGTTGGTGAAGCTGGTGGTGGAGGTGAGACGCAGTGGGAAGGTGCTGGGTGTAATGGTGGTGGCTCATGTAGGGGTCATAAACCAGGCCCTTGCCCGGTTCCATCATGGGGCTCAAGCTGAGGGGGTGGCTGAAAGGAGGCGAGGTCTGAGGACTGCCCGGCTGCTGGGGCTGAGGCTGATGCGCGGCTGAAATGGCGGGGCCCTGCGGGGAACTCAGAGATGCTGCTAGGTCCAGGGCAGGGCTGCCTGTCGGGTACGACCCTTCAGCTATCTGCATCTGGTTGAAATAGGTCTGCAGCCCCATGCCCTGTGACTGCTGCTGCAGGTACATCCTCTTCTGGTTCAGTCTGCGGGGAGAGCAATAGAGCTTTACATTGCACTAACATCAAGATAACACAACTAAGAAAGAGACAGTTAAAAACTTCATGCATAAGCACTCATGGGCAAGATTTAGAATGATAATGGATTGGGAAACTGAAATGCTGAATTCAAACATGGTTTTTCCTGCATGTTTTGCAAAAGTCGAGGTTCCAAGACTAATGAATTGCTACCACAATCATAATTTTGTTCATGATTGAAAAACATCTGGGGTGCTATTTGAAGGTTGGAGAACCTACGAAAATATCTAGCTTCTTAGCTACATCCATATAAAATAGAGGCAGAAAATGATGTCAGCAGGAAGCATGCATCAAAACAAACACAAAATAACATCTGATAAAAAATTTGAAAAATGAACACAAACTCTGAATGAATTACTTGAAACAAAATGGCATTTCAAGTCTGATTCCATAGCCAGGCAACTGTGGCCCTGACACAGAGTTTCGTCCCCGACTGAAAATCCTTGGCTCTTGGTGTAGAACAGTTTACTACTCTTCTTGTTTGGATTTATTCGAAATTGCCTCAATTCAAGAGAAGATCATGTATTGAATATCTAAGAAACAATGTGTGGTGCAGAAGTTTACAGTGTGGTTTACCTGTGTTCCTGCAGCTGTTGCTCTAAACTTCGAGGAGTCTCCTTACAGAAAAGTTGGCAGCTAGCAGGACTGTTAGCGAGGACGCTAGCCTTCTGGGCAGAAGAGAGATCGGGACTTATTACTGAACTCAGGATAACTACCATGGTAACTGGATACGAGCTGTCATAACTGTTACATCATGGCAGAGCTGATTATCCTTAAATTTCCAAATGATATCACTGAATATTTTGCAAATCAAGGCTTGATAAGATAAGTCTATATCATAGCATGAATTTGCATCACTGAGTATAGTCATAAAGAGTGAGTGTTAGACTGTACCTGAAGTCTATGAGTGAGGTATTGTGTCTCCAAACTCTGTCTGCGGGACAGGAGAGGCGGCTGTGGCGCGCCTTGGTATAAAGCTAGGCCCTCCTGCTGCTTGGATGCCTCACCCTTTGATCAGACACATAAAGCGTTAGAACATGGGGTGCGTGTGCCCATTTGTGTGCCCATGCACACATGCTCAAGGGCACATGTATCCCAGATCTCCTGCAGGTTAATAAAGCTGTGTCAGGGTCTGGGTGCTTCCTCATGTGGTCTAACCGAATTATCCCTTTTGTCTCCTGCCTAAATGTCTGTGTGGTGACTGATCAGCCAGATGCTTTTCTCTAAATGGCATGCACCGCAGGGATTACACATTAGTAAAATGAAATGAAAGCAAATTAAATGGATGATGGGGACTGAGCATCATAACCCACAAGAGCTGTGTTACTGCAATATAAAAGATGGACAAGAGGAAAACAACTGGATCTTGTCTGCTTCTACGATAGCGTTGTGTTTTGTTTTTTTGCTGGGGGGGTTGCGGATCCTTCCTCGAATGGTTCCTGTTGCAGAGTGTGCATCATTTTGTGTACATGTGTGTCCGTCTTTGTGCGATTTGCAGCTTTGCCTATTGAGTACCAGTCACTACTATGGGTATGTCTGACTGACTTCAACAATGGCTGCATTCACTTTGGCCTAGGCTCTAGGCTCCAGGCCCCAGGGGGACGGGAGACAGTAAACAAGCTACAATTGGCTGCCTCTCCTGATGTTACACAACAGCCTGGGTGCTTGCATTTTTTTTCCTGGGTAACATGGGATGAGGATAGTGGAGGGACTGTGGCCGAGAACAGGATTTGGTTGGTTGGGAATAGAAAGATTTTGAATGTGTGTGTATGGGTGATTATGCAGTAGGACTAACCTCCAGGAGGTTGTGCAAGTGGTGCTGTGGTCCCAGGGGCCCCATGATGGCCCCTTCCCCAGAGCCCATCTGCTCCACCAGCATCTGTACTTTGTTCAGCTCCAGGATGCCTTTGGTCCTCGCCAAGTTCTGGAGATGCTGACGAAATGCCACCAGACCTGCGAGCACAAACAAATCCCCACAAAACAGAGTCACTATGGATTGTTACAGCTGATCAATAGAATCATTTTTCTCTTCACAACAGGAAGTCAGAGGGTCTAACAGAGTCAGACCAAATACTCATTGATGTTAGCTGGTCGACCGGTTAGCACATTTCCAATCTGACAATGTGACTGGATGTACGTCATACGAGTGTCTGTGGGCGTTTGTGTGTGCATGTGACAGTATCTGCCTCTGTGTGTGTGTGTATGTGTGTGCAATACTAAGTAGCTCAGATAAGACCCATCCAGTGGTGACGAGCTGTATCTGTGAACGATAGGACCTGACTCACTGCAATGGTGGGAGTTATTTAAAACCGGAGTCAGCTGTCTGACGCAAAAGAATCCACCGCATCAACACTCTCCAAAGAGGATTATGAAAAATAAATAAATAAATAACTGCAAATACCAACTGGGAACACAGTGCAGTGCTGTCAATGCAGAGCTAGAGAGGTAAAGCATGTTTTTTAAGCCCTAATTATAGTTTCTACTTTGCACAGGTGATTTGGAACCAGCAGGCACATAATAATGCAGCTGTAGATGGGGGAAATGTGGAGATAGATGGAGACTGTTTCATGTTTTCATCTTATAGTTTAGACCCTCTTTCTCTCTGACGTGGAGCAGAGACAGAGCTGGCCTGCCACACACTGAAACTTTGGGAAGAGAAAGAAAAGCAAGATGGAGAATGAGCTGTAGAGAGAGAGGAGAGTGTGTGAAAATGAAGAGGGAAAGAGGGAGAGGGGGAGATATGTGGGCTGAAACCTTCAAATATCTGTATGTGATTCATATGGTGAATCATCACCGCCGTCACAGGAGAGGAGGAAGAGACAGGGGAAAAAAGTGTGTGAAAGAGAGGAGGGGGAGCAAATAGGAGGGTGGGAATGAGGCACTTTTATCTAGAAGACAGCATATACGTCTGTGTGTGTGTGTGTGTGTGTGTGTG